TCGAACAAAATCTTCCATAAAACTTGAAAAGCATGTCGAATTGAAGTTGAAAATTCTTACACAGCCCTCTAAGTTTCTCAATTTCATCTCGAGAGACGATTACATCAATTAAAGATTTTCTTTTGGCAACAGCTGCATCAAAATGAAAAAATAATTCATCATTTGAATATTTTAAAATTTGTCGTAATAATCTTATATCAATTGTTTTTTTAAGGAGTAATACGCCAAGTTCGTTTATAGACGCTTTAATACGTTGGACGAAAGAGTTTGAATGAAGTTTTTCAACGTTTCCAGTAGCGTAGAATATAATTTTCCAAAATTTACTAGCTTTTAAAACGCTTAAATGATCTACCGAAGATGTAAAAGATTGGCTTTGCAATTTAGTAATTATCGAGCATAAAATATTTTCGCTCATCCTAAGAATTATTTCAACAAAAATAAAACAAATGATTTATCTTTTGTGTTTACGAATTAATGAAGATAATCATAATGAAAAAAACTTACGGATTTGGAACCATTAAAGTTTTGGCTCTCTTATCGCAATCGCAAATTATAAATAACTTATCTATTAACTGATCATCAATTTGTTGAACGGTCTTGTTAATTATTTCTTTTATCATTTCTAAAAATAATCTTTTGAATTCCATACGCTGTATCTTCATTATTAATTTTGTTGTTGCAAATATTTGATTTTCTGAACATCCCTTTACCCTTTTTATAGCAATGGAGTTAATCTCTCTCCAAAGATTCATCCTTTGACCAAGCAAAGGATACATACGTTCTAATTGTCGAAATACTAAATAAATGAAGTTACTATCACTACCCTCATTTGAAGCAGTTTTCTTATTTGTACCAAGCTTGGTCAAAAATTGTGTAAACCAATTTATACAAATATTTGGTATCTTTTTTCTAGAATCAGTAAAATCCCTTCGATACCAGTCATCCAAAATTTCTGGAAAGATATTCAATAATTCAAAATTATTAGATTGTGATATAAGTTCCAATGAAATTAGTGCGTCATCTCTACGCCATTTCAGATTACCGTCTTGAAGTAATTTTAGTATAGCCGTGATATTTTGATCTGTCCATTTGCTATTTGGACTTCTAAGTAAAAGAAAGACTCGATCACGGAAAATGATAGAAACTTCATTTCGGCAATTTTTAGGGAGACTTTTGAAATAGTTTTCTAAAGCAACAGCATCACAACCGGAAATACTCTCTTGGACTTGTTCAATAAAAAACTTGAGAATACTTTTATCAGTCGCGTCATTACACGAAAGTACTTCATTCCAAAGTTTAAGGAGTCCGTCCATATCGTGACATAATTGAATTAACCACTAATAAAAATTAAAAAAAAAAGTTAATTACCACACTTTATCGAGAAAATAATTATATTCAAATTACCTTAGCAAGTTTAGTGTAAGTATCAAACTTTATGTTGTCAATATAAGGCCTAATTCTTTTTATTTCTTTAATAAAATTTGATAAATCGTATTTAGGATACTTTAAAGCTTTTAAACGATCAATGAAAGTATAATTAGGGTCAACTTCTGCAGCAATTGTAAATATTTTGAGCCAATCAAATTTCATCTTAAAAGCATTATTTTGGATTAAAGTTGTAATAGCATTAGAAATTTGATCGCTGGTGGCTGAAGGTAAAGTATCCTTCGTATAACCCTCGAAGGCATCAAGCAGTAATTCGGATGGAAATTCTTTTGATAATTCATGAAACGCATCTTGCCTTTGAATATGATACCCTAAGAGAAGACATAAGAAGAGTCGTTTTGTTCTTGATCTATAATCGATGTGATCGACAATAAATTTGATACTTGACGCACGAATCGTAAGATCGCGGTGGACAGTTAATAATTTTTGATATGCCATAACTTTCTCTTTAAGGTTTTCATCTTCAATAGATTCATAAATATAATCCACAAAAGCATAGTCGCTTATAGCATTGGAGTTTAAGTTATATTGTAACTCACGAGTATTTTTCCATATGCCGAATTGATCATTTCTACTAGTTTCTAAAGTACGATTATCCCGAGTACCATTTCCTTCGAATATAATTCTTCCTTTTCCAAAATAGTTAGGTACATAAATAGCATATTTGTATTGAATATCTTGAGCGAAATTTGATATCAAAATAGTAACCGGATCGGATAGCCAATATGTTGGATTATGAGGTCGTTGAAAAAGTTTAATAATGGGATTTTTCCAGGAACCTAATTCTTTTACATCACCAAGAACTATGGGTTGTCCAAACTTTTTAACATTCGGTGGTAAATGAATATGAAACATAACATTGATTTCACGCTCTTCTTTGTTAAAAAGGCCACCTACGAAGTTACGCACCACATTACCTAAACCACCGCTATTAGATTGTGATGATCCCATGCCTTTTCCCTTACTACTACTACTTTGTGGTTTATTACTATGTTCTGAAGACAATTTGTTACTGTTATCGAGTCTAGTAGGATTGGAATCCTTTTTATGAGATTTGTTGCTAATATTATTCTTTTGCTTTTTATCTTTTTTATCTTGAGATTGAAATTCATATTCAAAATCGCGAAGAGCACCATCAAATGAAATATCTTGATTATTATTCACGTGTTGTGAAGATTTCAAGTTGTCTTGAGATTTTAACTTGTCCTGATAGGTTCCATAATGTGACTTATCTTTCATATTGTACTGTTTTTCTAACTCATGTTCAATTTTTTCTTCAGTTAAGCTGTTATCAATGTTGTTTTGAGATTCTAAATCATGTCCAAACTCTTTTTCAGATGAGTTATCTTCTATATCATCATGCTGAGAATATGGATTATTCCCATAATATTCTAAATCATGTACTTCTTCATCATATAAATTATCTTCATTATTATTGTGATGAGAATATGGATCATCATTATTCTCTAACTCGTATCCAAATTCTTTTTCAGATGTGTTATCATTATTATTATTTAACTCAAGTACAAAGTCTTCATCAGGTAAGTTATCTTCGCGTAGTAAATTGTTTCGCTGAGATCCTAACTCATGTCCAAAGTCTACAAAAACGTCATCATCTTGCTCCTTACTAATACGATGTGGATTATTTTGAGATCCTAACCTATGTCCAAAGTCTACAAAAGCGTCATCATCTTGCTCCTTACTAATACGATGTGAATTATTTTGAGATCCTAACTCATGTCCAAATTCTTGACAAGTATCATCAGACGGATTATCTTGCCTACTATTATTGCCTTGAGATCCTCCTAATCCATGCCTAATGCCTTGACGAGTATCATCAGATAAGTTTTGTTCCTTACGCTGCGTATATGGAATGTTTCCTTGAGGTCCTAACCCATGTCCGTTATCTCGACGTGTGACATCAGATAAGTTATCTTGCTTACTGTTATTGCGTTGAAGCCCTTGAGATCCATACCTAAAGCCTTGACGAGTATCATCAGATACGTTTTGTTCCTTACGATGCGTATATGGAATGTTTCCTTGAGGTCCTAATCCATGT